AACCTGGTGTGAGAGACTCTGTGAGTGTCGCGGGACACTCTCCAGTATAGCTCAATGGATCGCTGAGGTGCGCAAACCGTCACACCACGGTAAGGTCCAGTCTCTTCGTGACGGGCCCAGTCTCTTCGTGACGGAGTCCACTCTGTTCGTGACGGAGCCTTGACAGTGGAAATCGAGAGGCAGCGCAAGCATACAGGTGGTCAACCTTTGACCAGGCAGAGGGGTAAGAGATTATGAAATCCTGGGTGCTGTCGATGCGACTCTGCCTCCAGGATAGGGACCGCATGATTCCCACTGCCCATGGTTGGAGACACTGCGAAATATGACTACTAATCCATGTCGATCGCCTTGTTGTGAGTTTCCGTCCAGATTTCCTGAATGAGTGTCTGGAGATACGGGCACCTCGGATTGACTTATCACCAAGTTCCTTTCCCGTCCACTTTTATTTTTGAATCACAATGGGGGTTTCAGATAACTTAGATTTACGGCAAGGAGCCCTCAGTGTTGATGTTGTGATGACGTGATCGATTTGAGTTCATCGTTGGGGGCCAGATGGCCCAAGTGTTTATAGCGCGAATTTACTGACCGAAAGGTCCGTGGTTCGAACCCGACCTCTGCCTCTTGACTTCTCCTGTCTAGGCTTTGGTAACCTGTCAGTATCCCAGCCCTCGTGCTTCCTTCCGGTAGCATGGCAGCTAGGGACCGAAAGGGTGCTACAACTGAGAACTCATAGGAAAACGTGACCAGACGACTCCAGCTATTTCGGAAGTTAGCACTGCATAAAGACAGTTTACGGTCAGCATATGGCTGAAGCAATCGTTCGCGATTGTCTGTATGTACGTAGTCTAATTCACTTCAACCACCCAATTGAGTCTAACGTGCTCCAAGTCTGTCTACTTGTGCATTCAAATCTGCGGCAACCGAAGCGATAACTGAGCTTTGAGCGTGCCGTAACAGGGCACTCAAAGCGTCTTAAAACGTGTCTTTGATGTTATTAGCGTTACAGTCAGTTGGGAAGTAAGCGGACACGATAAACCGATAATTTTTTCCCCATGCGACTCTGTCACGAAAGTCGCCAGATGAACCGCACTGAGGCCACCATCACGGGTATCCAGTTAAGTATGGATTCTCCCGCCCGGTGACTTAGGACGATGCCGATCCCTGTACATTCTGCCGCGGTGGCCTGTGGATCACCAGAGATGCTCAGCCGGACGCGAATCAAGAGTGATGGAAGTATTTATTCACTGATTGCGCTTTTATCTTGAATTCCTGTTTCAGACACACAGCACATACCAGTGTTAACCCGATCCAATGGAGGATCACGAGCAGCTGATTTCCATGCTTCAGATTTTGATCATTAAAGTGACCAGATGGACAAGGCGCACAGGCTTGAAGACTGATTTCGAGATGCGTGGGGTTGTCGCTGCTCAGTGACCCACAGATGTTGCGGCCAAGACCGATGTAGGACGAACGGGGTCATCGCTCCTAACGGATAGGCCTGCGAGGGCAGCGTCCGTCACGAAGGGACTGGACCTTACTGTGGTGTGGCAGTTTGTGTACCTCGGCGACCCATTGAGCTATAATGGGGTGTGCGCGACACTCAGAGTCTTTCATACCAGGTTAGTCCATGGGTAGAGGTCTGACGAACACAGTCTCCTGGCCCTCCAGGTTGGGGGTTTGAACATGTCATCATCATCATCATTGTCAACTGTAATAACCGCGCACTCGTCGTACAGTGGTTGTTTCTGCCGCAGTTTCTTTCACCGGTGATTTTGGGGGGGTATATAGCGGACTAGGACCTTATCAGTGTGTTCGGATAAATTAACAAGCAAAAGTAACCAATACAATACCACAAAATCACAATAGGAAAGGAATGAGTAGTCAAATGGGGACTCACGAATGTATAGGTCCAATAGTCTACTACACCGATCCAAATGCAGTAACTGGATGTGAAAGGAAATATTCACTTATCGAAATTTCCCACAGATGGTTCCGCGTGAGTGATATATTTCACTGTAGGAAAATTATTCACGGCTAAGAAGTGTCACAGGGGTTTATTGTGACGTTCAGCAGTTGACACAAA